ATTGGACCTTTGTCATTCACTTTTAAGAGCCTCAGTATCTTGCTAGGACCTCCCACACAGGCACGCACAGTAACTATCTGTGAGGCGAATGAATGAATTTCAAGATTGGAAGGTACCTCAGGAGACCCCAGATCCAACGTCCCATCCTGTACTTGAATACCCTCGTACAATGTTTAGACCCAATCCATGGACTGCGTGTTTTTCACCTAAAACGCAGCAAATGGGAGATATGTGTAACACTAGCAGCAATAAAATATATATATATTATTTTTAAATAAAGTACAGCAAAACAAGACTAGCATGAACAATGCTTTTTCATTGTTTTTGAATTTTTTTTAATTTCTTTATTGATTAAGGTATTATATATGTCATCATAACAATCATTGTTCTGAATTTATTCAACTTCACTCAGAGACTATGTTTTTCCTGTTTGGGAATAGTAAAGCATCTATATTAAATTACGGTGATATAAGTGGCATTTGGCGATTGATGTCCTTATTTGGAACAATAAAAATTAAAACTTGGCAACTTAGTTGGTTTCCTATTTTTTTCAGCCCATTAAATTCAGGAGTCTGGAGGTCACAGGTCCCACACAGCCTTCTCTCTAAGAGGCTGTATAGATGGTGCTGGAGTGGCCTTTGCATCCCTGTTTGGCACTGATGATTAAAACATGCTTTCTTCAAAAAAACCTCTGGTCTGTCTCTCTGTCGCTTCTGCCCATGGCAGCCGTGGAAGTATATCAAGCAGCTCTCCTTCAAGATTCTGTTCCAATGTGGTGTTGCCAGCTCTACTGCCTCTGTGCTCCAAACTGTATTGTGGTCTTCCTACCCAATTCCCTCCTTTCTCCTCTCACAGGTCCTAGTCTGAAGGCTCTCCCTGCCTAGTTCTGCTCCTTCCCATTTAACCTTCACAGGTATTTTCCCAATAAACGGCTTGCACATCTATCTTGTCTTGGTATCCATTCTTGAAGTACCTTCTTGAGCGGAAATGACTGGGAATTGGACAAGGCATTCCAAATGTGATCGAAGCAGCTAATCCACCATGGATAGGTTACATAATCTATTCCACCATCTATAAGTTGGAGATATTCCTACAGGTTGTGTGAGACTTGAGGGAATAACTTATAACGTGCTTTACAGCGCCTGACATTCAATAAATGGTAATAACCTATCTCCCACCCATCGCCACTGTGAGAAAGCTGAAGTGTCTGTTCACAATCTGTTCTGTCCGTTCGCAGTGGCTCAGTGGTTGAGCGTGGACCTTTAAGCAGAAGAGCATGGTTCGATTCCCATGCCAGGATGGCAGGCTCCCCAGTGTGGGGTACGCAGGAGGCAGCCCATCAAGGATTCTCTCTCATCATTGATGTTTCTCTCCCTCTCTCCCTTCCTCGCTGAAATCAATACAAATATATTTTTAAAAGAAAATAACACAAAAGCTGTTCTCATTTATTTAAAAATATTTAATAGGTTCAAGGGAAAAGTGAACAAAAGCATAGATTTTTTGAAAGTTGCATAACTTAAAGGGCCGGAAGGCCTCCTAGGGGGATCCATGTGTAATATCAGACAAGCTAATGTAAAATAGTTTGAGTGTAAATTTTGACTTCCAAAGAGCAGATGATTAGGCAGTAAGCTGGGAGAAATGATTGAGGTGAGCCGGCAGGCAGGCGGGGAACTCTTCCTGGCTGAACCCCTGGATGGTTCTGTCCTGCCCTCAGGAAAGGTGCAGATCCACGTGTGTGCATCCAGGCGAGGGCAGGCTTTTAGGTCAAGTTGTAGAGAGGGACCTGACTATTGAAAGATGAGACTTGAGCGGCTGAATAGAGGTGCCCAGGATGGAGGGAATGTGAAGACTGACTTCAAGTGGGCCAACTTGGCATGTGAACCCGAGAGAACTCTATATTTGCCACGAGGATCTACTGTGCTTCCTGAAGAGTAGGCACAGCAACGGCCCAGTAGCCTCTGGATTAAAAAATATTATTTAAAAATAATTGCAGTGCTGGCTCTCGTATGCTTGTCAGGCACTTACTTGACACATAGTAGAAACTTGGTAAAAATTAATTTTCCTTCTTTTTATGCACAGGTTAGAGTGTGCCAACTTGGCTAACTTACATCTTGGGCACATCTCACATAGAAACATGCTTTACCCACTCTTCAAAGACATGCTTTCTCAAAAGCTTTGTAATACGGTCTAGGACAAGATTGCCAGGGCTTGAGTCAGGATTCGAGGGGATGAAGAGAGCGATGTGGAGGAAGGAACTGAAGAACTGATGACAGATGGAATGTGGGAAGGCTAAATCAGGAGTCAGGTCTGTTAAGATAGCAACCGTGAAAGGCAAGCTGGGTAAGGCCCCAGAGCAGCGGCTTACAGAGACTAAACTTGAGTTCAGATCTCATTAGAAGCAGCTCAGAAATATCTGTCTTGGCAGGGACACACATTCAGATAGCAAGCTGGAGTCTGCTCGCAGGGCAGCGTGGTGACTGCCGGGCCAATTCCCTCCACCCCCAGCACATTTTTTCACGGATGGAATCGCAGCCGAGGCTGAGCCAGGAGCTAGTGCCGGGTGAACCTGCCATGCGAGCGTCAGGTGGAACCGGAGGACTCCTGAGGACTCTGCTCTCACTCTGCACCAAAGCTCTGGCCACACTCAGGATAGTGTTCACATTTTCTTCAGTTCCTCAGTTCAGAGAATTCTTCCAGAAAAAAAAAAAAAAGAGAGAGAGAGAGAGAGAGAGAGAAAGACTTCTGAATCTGTTTTAGGTACATGGAATAACACTACCCAAATGCCATGAGCAGTTAGGATTATTTGTCCAGAGTCAAACTGGAATGCCAATTGGACAAAGGTGCTGAATCCCTGAAGAAAATGTTTTGTTTTGCTTTTTAATTAGGGTAAGATATACATAATTAACATGAAATTTACCCTTTAACCATTTTTAAGTCTGAGCCTCAGTAGCATTAAGTATCACATTGTTTGTGCAACCATGAACACTAACCATATTCAGAACTTTTTCATCATCCCGATCTGAAATTCTGTGTCCATTCACAATAACTCCCCATTTCCCCGTCCCCTCAGACTCTACTACCCCCTATTCTACTCTCAGTCTCCTGGAATTTGCCTGAATTCTCAGTACCTTACATACATGAATCTTATAATACTTTCCATTTCTGTCTGGGTTCTTTCAATTAGCATAATGTTTTCAAAGTTCATGTTGTGGCATGTGCTGAAATTTCCTTCCTTTTTGAGTATGAATATTCCATGAAGAAAACTTCTGGGATAGCTTTCGTCAGAATGGAGGTAGATAAGAAAGGTTAACTCTAGTTTTTAGAACACCCTGTCGGGTACACTGTATTTTTATCTGATTTCTAAACAGTATAACCCAAACCAATTAATTGGTACAGTTATTTAAATATACTCCAAACTCAAGCTAATGATTCACAATTTCAAACACAAGTGCAGATGGGTTCATACTTCTTAAAAAGAAACAAATATATTAAGTATTAATTATAGTTTTTTACAGTAAAACATCTTATAAAGTGTCATAGATAAGATTTCAAATAATGAAGGCTAAATGTATGCATTGCAAAACTACTCCGTTACAGGACTTTTGTGGGTTACCTTAAGCCTTTGGAGAGATAATTTGACCCAGGTTGGCATGAGAGAAACAAAGTAAAACTTCTTTGTTCTAGAAATCATCAAATCTTTATTCTGATCTTGATTATTGATTCCAGAACTACCAATTATCTTTTTCAACTGAAAGTGCAATTGAAATGTGTCCACAGGTTTACAAGTGTAAGATCATATTTTTGTAAATTAAAAAAAGATCAGAACTGCCTTCCCCAATATTGTTTTTTTAAAAATATATTTTATTGATTTTTTACAGAGAGGAAGGGAAAGGGATAGAGAGCTAGAAACATCAATGAGAGAGAATCATCGATCAGCTGCCTTTTGCACACCCCCTACTGGGGATGTGCCCACAACCAAGGTACATGCCCTTGACCTGAATCAAACCTGGGACCTTTTAGTTCGCAGGCTGACACTCTATCCACTGAGCCAAACCGGTTTTGGCCCCAATATTGTTTAAAGCCACCTCAGTATGTGCCCACAATTGCTGGCACTGACATCTGTATCCTAAGCAGGCACGACGACTGTTGCACAGGATACATTAGGTTAGATATTGATTAATCCCACATTTTGCACCCTCAGTCCTTGGAATGTTCCTAGTCAAAAAATTCAAGAGAAGCTGCAAAATCTCTCAGATCCTTTCTTATGCTAATATTCACTATGGCTTTTCTGGTGAATACAGTATAGGGCAGGCTCCAGTTAGGTCTTGGAGTATATGCTGCTGCTTGGGATGTGTTGAGAAATGCTGGGTCTGATTACAGGCCGGAGAGAAGCAATACGAATGATGAAAGAATTTTAAAATTGTACCTACAGTTCAATGTTGAAAACTATGTGTTTTTCTGTAGGAAGGTGACTAGTGATGAAGAACGCAAGCTTCAGGCAAAACAAAGCAAAGCAAAATTGGATTCAAATCCCAACTCAACCACCTCATAGCTGTACAATATGGGCTATTTAACCAAAATTGGTCTCAGTTTTCTGTCTACCTTAGCAAAGTGAGCCAGGATTACAGGAGATAACATCCAATTGGATCAATTTAGGGGAGTCAGGAGACTGAAAAGGCGACGATTATTTTATCCGAGATATTAATATACAGTTGTTTACTGAAAAGTGTAAAGAGGAACATGAGGATATCTCCAAGGCAGCAATGCAAGAAGCAACTGCCATCCACAGGGCTGGGAGACAAAGTAAAGAAGTTGCAATTAAAAAAATTTAGGAGTCTGGAGGAGGGGCCCTGCAGAGCTGGACTACTTGGACCTCTGAGGATGGGGTGCTGCTGGTGTCCTGAGGTGGATGGGGGTGAGGAAGCAGGTTCCACTCTGCATTCAATCTTTGCTCCTGGAATCAACCGCTACTGCCAAGATAAAAAAGCCTGGTTGGAGTGATGTTCCCAGGAACAGAAAAGCCACAGGATACAGGAAGGAGCGGATCTCTTCTATCTCCTATCTCCCTCTCCTATGGCTCTGATTTGCAAAGCCCCATAGGGAGTGGGCTGGCAGAGCGTAAGTGTGGTTTGCAGAGTCTACCCCAGCATTGCAAAGCCAAGAATAGAAGGGTGGGCTTGGAACTGGGAGACAATAGCTTAATCGCTGGCACAAATACAGTTTATAGAGTGCAAAAGTGTATGGCAGCTAGTCCTCCTCCAAACCTGACTGACTCAGTCCTGTGCTTGGTATATGTTTGCAGAATTTCTGTAAGACATGGCTATGAAAAACACAGAAGGGATTAAATGCCTGGAGGGTCAACTAATTAAATAAAACAAACAAAACAGACTTAACATCACATCTCAAACTTGCAATGTCTAAAACTGAGCTCTTGCAATCAATGTTCACAGCAGCCTTCCTCCTAATAACCAAAAAGTAGACAAATCTAAATGTACATTGGTGGTAAACACAATGCGGTATTGGTATAGCTTATACAATGGAATATTTTGGGGGCAATAAAAAGGCGGGGGGGACCTGATTCATGCTATAACATGAATGAACCTTAAAAATATTGTGCCAAGTGATGTTTGTGGCCAGATACAAAAGACCACATTGTGTGATCCCATTTGTGATTCTACCCGACTTCATTCCATTAAATGTCCAAAGCAGGCAAATCTATGGAGACAGAAAGTAGATTGGTGGTTGCCTGGGGTTGGGGAACATGGTGGGGGTGAGGGTAACTGCTAATGTGCACAATTTCTTTTTAAGAGTAATTAAAACATTCTGAGGTTGGAAGATCCTGAGTAATTAAAACTATTGAGTGGTACATTTTTAATGCGAAATTGTATGCTTGTAAACTGCATCTCCATTAGGCTGGAAAAAAGGAGAGAGAAAAGGCCAGGCAGCTTTTGCCTTGTTCCCTAGAACACTTGCTCTTGGGATCCTGAGCTCCCACTTACTAGTAAGAAATTGACTAACGTGAGACCATCAGGCTGTGATGCAGATCAAGCCACAGGGAGAGGCCACATGTTGTCCTAGCTCCGCCCAGCTTTTGAGTCTCCACACACCAAATACATGAGTGAACAAGCCGTTAGCTCCCTAAGTCAATCTGTCATTTGAATCCCAGGTAGGCCCAACCCCGCTACATCCGATCCCAATATCTAAGTACAGATTCGGTGAGCATAATAAAAGTGGTTGTTTTATACCACGCCTTTTGGGGATGGTTTGTAAACACCACTCTTCTGGTTTTCTTCCTACCTCAGTCTTCTCAATCTGCTGGCTCCTCTCAGTCTCCCTGACTGTTGGTCTTCCCCCAGTCTGTGCTCACTCCCTTGGCGTTCTCATGCAGATTTATGGGTTTAAATACCACACTGACCCCCAAATGTCTAACTTCAGCCAGACCTCTCCCCTGAACTTCAGATTACTATATTCATCTGCTTATTTGGCATTCCTACTTGTATTTTCAGAAAGTAACAACTAATCGATATAAACCAACTATTTTATCTCAAAATACATTCAAATGCAATGTTTTTGTGAACATTCTTGCACAATGTCACTATTCATTGTTTTTGGAAAATTCTGGCATAAGCCTCTAAGAGTCAGTTTGCTTGTTTTCACTTGACTACCTACCAAATCCCTCAGATTTCTGAGGGCAGCAAAGATAATTCTTTCAAATGCAGCAAGAGAAGCTAAGGGCAAGTCATCTTTAAGAGTCATAGAATTCTAAAAAATAATGGGTGAATAAACAAAATGTACTATATTTACACAATAGATTAATATTCAGCCTTAAAAAGAAAGGAAATCCTGATACATATTATAGCACAAACCTTGAAAATATTACACTCAGTAAAATAAACCAGAGAGAAAAGGGCATGATTCCATGGAAATGAGGTACCTAGAAAAATCAAGTTCATAAATACAGAATACTGGTGGTTACCAGTGGAAAAGGGGTTATGGGGAGTTATTATTTGATGAGCAGAGTTTCAGTTTGGGTTGAAAAAATTCTGAAGATGGATAATGGTGATGGTTGTATACAAATATGAATTATATACTTCAGGATGGTTAAAATGGTAAATTTAATACCCCTGAATTATATACTTCAGGATGGTTAAAATGGTAAATTTTATGCTATACTTTACTACAATAAAAAGTTATGAAAAATGGAGTAAGAGTACAGGTGGACAGCTTAGGTACACACAGATCTGTAAAGGAAAGCAGGATGGCTGGGATGGAGAAGTGATCTCTGAACAGTCCCCATTTTACACCAGAAAGTGGGTTTCTCAGATGAACAGTTATACTGGCCACTAACCACAGAGGGGTTGTGGCTTCTGACCACCCTGCTTCCAATGGCAGGGTTAGAACAGGCCTTGGGAATTTCTGAGGTGGGATGTGCTTCTAATAAGTTACCAATGCTCCTTTTTAGACACAAATACTTTAAGTCCAGGAGCTTTCCTGATTCTGTGTAGCCCGTACTCCTCAAAGGTACGGGCTATTCCCAGCAGTGGGTTCGAGCTGCGGTTGCTACCCCAAGAAGGTATTTATTACATAGCTGTTGAATACAGATAAAAGTTTGATTTGGTTTATAGAACAGAGATTAGATAATGTCTCTTTGAGAGTGCTATATTTGATTAGAATGAAATGATATGTAAAAATGCTAACAAAATGATAAGGCATTATTCTTAATACAAGCAAGATGAAAAAGACTTAAAATTCTCCCTAAATGTCACAGTTTATTTGCTATGATCTGATTTCTTGGTGAGTTGAAGGCAATTTCTGCTGAGACACAGGAAACTCTGATTTACCTTTGTCTTCTTAGTCATCTTAGAAAGAGTGGGGGATGGGCCTTTTTGCCCATCTGGTTCCTAACTCTTCCAAGAATATAACAAAGAATAACAAAGTCACCATTCAGAGGGGTGTGGGGTTTATCTATATATATAAAACCCTAATATGCCAATAAATTGGACGGCAGAACAACAGAACTGGTTGCTACAATGTGTGCTGACCACCAGGGGAGCATGTGTGGAATATGGTGGGCCTCTATAGCAGGAGGCTGAGCACGGAACACAGTAAGCATAAGTCGAGGTGGGATGGTGGAGCAGGTAGGGGGAGGGGGGAGTGCCAGACCAAGGCGGGGCGCTGGTTGCTGTCATGGGGGTGAGCCTCTGGTGGTTACTGAAAATTCTTTGCTCCCATGCACCACAGTCCCGCCTGACACTCACACCTGCTGCCAGAGTCGGCCCTGCTCGCACCTGCTGCTGGCACCAGAGCCACTGCTCGCACCTGCTGCTGGCGCCCGTCAATGGGTGTGAGCAGGGCTGCCAGCCAAAATTGTCCTTCAGGGCTTCTCCATCTCCCCCTGCTCCTGAGGGGCAATCGGGGCCAGCAGCCACCTCTTACACCCATTGCTGGCAACGGCCCTGCTCACACCCGCTGCCAGCGCCAGCCCCACTCGAATCTTCAGCCAGAGCCACCACTCACACCCACTGCCAGCACCCAGCGGCCGATCCTGATTGCTTGGCGCTGTCAGTAAGTGTGAGTGGCGGCCCTGATTGCCCCTGAGGGTTTCTGCACCTCTCCCTGCTCCTGAGAGGCGATTGGGGCAGCAACCGCAGCTCGAACCCGCTGCTGGGAATAGCCCCAATTGCTCCATGCCATCAGCAGGTGCGAACAGGGGAGCGGCAGCAGTAGGAGTGGCAGCAGCAGCAGGAGTGGCGGCAGCAGCAGGAGTGGCAGCAGCAGCAGACAGGGAACTGGGGACTGCAGTGGGAGGGGCCAAGCGGGGCATGGAGGATGGGCAGAGACCCAACCCTGTGTCCACAGCAGCCTTGCGGCCTATAGTTCCTTTCAAGGTGCACTGGGCCCCCAGTTTGTAATAAAAACACACTAGAAAAAAATAAGTCATGTGTTTCTATTAGTGGTTTCTCTGGCTCTAAATCCCTCGTTTTGGTGGATTTGCTGTACAGGAGGAAACTAAGGTAAGGCACTGTGATTCTCACAGATCTTCCCCGGCAGGCCACAGCCTGCTAATCTAATCTTGTTTGGCAGCAAATTTAATTATCCAAGAAATGTTATTATTCTTGTTTTATATATCTGCTTCTTATAAATGAGCATCATTTCAATCTATGACACAATGAAAACAGTCAAGAATTGTATCTTGCATTTATAATTTAAGAAGCTATGTTTAAAAATTAAGACTGTGTTTATGTGGCTATAAGAAAAATTGGAAACCAAACAGATGGATATTTATAAAAACTGCTATTTTAGGAAAGGACTTAAAGTTAGAAGCCATTGTCAATTCCTCTGTAAACTGGGGAACATACAATTACTCTAAGAAGAATTCAATTTTTCCCCAATTGCACTCTAAATTATGGCCAAGGAAAAACATTCAGAAAACTTAAGACTTTTACTTCCTCAAATTTTAGATGGACTGCTTTTTAGAAATGTTCTAATTAATATTACATGAAATCCCCTAGCTGATAAAAGGCCAGGCATTTATTTTCTTCTCAGTAGCTGAATGCATTTTTATGTTTAACACAGATAGTATTCCAGTATTTACCATATGGAACAGGAAGGAATAATTAAGTTTCATCATCCAGGTACCGCACAAACGTGAAGTTAAAATAGAATTGTCATTGACAGTCAACACCGCATTCCATGTTATGATTGATTCCAAGAACACACATTTCTGCATCTTGATTGGTAATTGTACTTTTCAGTTGTAACAACATCCTCAAAGGGTTTTCAGTTTGTCTTTCTCTTGCTCCTTTTGACTGTGAAGTGCAAACGATTCCTGAACGAACTGCCTGCACATGGGGCACCGCTGGAAATACCTCACACAACCATCGCACAAACACGTGTGTCTGCAGGGCAGGAGCACCCAGTTCACGGTCCCGTTCTGGCAAACCACACAGTCCTTGCTACTCTCCTCGGGAGGCTCTGCTTCACTCTCGGAGAGTCCAGCCTTTTCCAACAAGCTTCGGTCTGTGCTTTCACCTTCTGGAGAGGAACTGCTCGAAGGAATGGCATTATTATTTGCAGACATGTAAAGTTGCTGAAAAACCAGAGAAACAAGTTTAGAGATAATAACAAATGTCAATGACTCTTCGGGGGGGTCATAAGAGATGCTCAAAATGTATGAGCTAGCAAATAATGGCTAACTTTGATGGGAACTAACTGAAAAATATTATCCCTTGATAAATGGTCATTCTTTGAAACTGAAAACGAGAGACAAAGATAAGACTTCAGGGTACAACTTACCTTAAGATCATGAAATTGACCTTGAGTCGGGAGTAAATATTGACATAATATTCTACAGGACAGTTTATAAGTTTTATCAGGAATATGAATTGCTGACACCATGGAAATCTAAAATAAAAATTGAACACCGGTCAGTACTTAATCTCTATATTATTTCACAGGTATGTGAAAATATGTATCAAACAAAAATAAGCTGATAAATTATAAAACTTACAATAATTTATTCAAATCAGTCACTACAGAGAAAGCAGTTATTGACATATTTTTACCAGAGTTTCAAAAATTATACTAGTTTACAATTTAATATGATCCCAACAAAATAGCTGAGTTGACTCTAAAATTCTCAATGTGGGAAAATTAACACGTAGGAACAGCTAGGAAAAGACTGAAAAGAAAGCTATGGGGGAGGAGATATTAAGCACAATCAGATATTAAAACATACTACCAAGCCTCTAGAATTAAAACAGCGTGGTACTAGCAAATGGATAGACAGATGTCTGAAACAGAATAAACAGTCCAGAAACAGACCCAATTCCATATACAAATATGATAAAGGTGGCATTTCAAATCACTAGCAAAGAGAGCCTTTATAATAAAAAGGCTCTCTTTGCTAGTGACAACTGTATAGCTACTTAGAAAATTAGGACAACTGTATAGCTACTTAGAAAAACAAAAAATTAGATTTATTTCTCATACCATACACAAGAATAAACTCCAAAAGCATAAGAAACCTAATTGTAAAAAATAAAACTATACAAATACTAGTAAAAAACATGTGCATTTCTTTCTAGTTTCAATGTAAGTTAAGACTTTCTAACTATAACTCAAACCTAGAGGCAGATCAATTTGACACATTTGACTGTAAAAATTAAAAACCTGCCTGATGATAAAGCACCATAAGCAAAGTTAAAAGACATATAGCAAGCTGGAATAAAATATTCACAATATGTATCACAGACTAAGGGCTAATATACCTAACTTATAAACAACTTTAAAAAGTGAAGAGAAAGTTACCAAATATCCCATAGAAAAATGGGCAAAAGACATAAATAGACAATTCACAAAAGATATAAACATGGTCTTTGACTATATTAAAAGATGTTCAATTTACTCACAACATGATAAATGAAAAACAAAAATTTACTGAGATATTTCTCATACATCAGATTAACAAAAACTGAAAAGCTTGTCAATACACTCTATGGAGTAATAATCATACTCATATATGGTGGAAATGTTAAAAAAAAAAAAATAAAATAAAAAAAAAGGTTTAGCCCTGGCTGGTGTGGCTCAGTTGGTTGTTATCCTGTGACCTAAGGGTTGCCAGTTCGATTCCTGGTCAGGGCACATACCTGGGTCAGGGTGGGCAGGAGGCAGCTAATCAATATTATGCTCTCACACTGATGTGTTTTTTTTTCTCTTTCTTTCTCTCTCCTCCTCCCTTCCTCTCTCTTTAAAAATCAGTAACAACAACAACAAAATCTTAAAAAAAAAAAAAAATGGTTCAGCTCCAAAGGCACAACCCCAATAGAGGGAATTTGGCAAAATGTAACAAATAACAGGCATTTACCCTTGAATCATTCAACCTCAACTATATTAAAATACACACACACCATTTATTCAGTGCAAGATTACTTGTTAGTGCAGAATACTGGAAACTACCTGAATATCCAACCACAGGAAGTTAAATAAATGGTACCTGTATAGCCTACATACAATGGAGTGCTATGAAGCTGTAAAAGAAACCAAAACCAGTGTGAGGAAGATCTCTATGAACTGATCTACACTGATTTCCAGAAGATACTGTGACGTGAACAAAGCAAGAAATATCCTATATAATAATCCTATATAATAAAAGGGTAATTAGCAAATTGACCCTAACGGCGGAACTACCAGTTGTTATGATGTATACTGATCACAGGGGGCAGATGCTCAACACAGGAGCTGCCCCTTAGTGGTCAGTGCGTTCCCACAAGGGGAGCTCCGTTCAGCCACAAGCCGGACTGACGGCTGTGAACGCAGCAGCGGTGGCAGAAGCCTCTCCCCACTCCTTGGCAGTGCTAAGGATGTCCAACTTCAGCTTAGGCTGCTCCCCCATGGATATCCCCTGAAGGGTCCCGGACTGCAAGAGGGTGCAGGCTGGGCTGAGAACCCCCCCCTTGCATGATTTTTTTTGTGCACTAGGCCTCTAATATAGTATATACAGTTTGCTAACTTCAGTGTAGGAAAGAAGGAAAAAGAAATATATACACATATATCATTGTTACAATATGAAACATAGGAAAGATAAACATGAAAACAATGGACTTGGGTATCTACAGGATTGGGGAGGGTTGAGAATGGGAGGAGGATATGTGGAAAACAGCAATACCTGAGTATACCACTTAATATAGTTTTTTCCCTTTTGAGAGAACCCAAGTAATTTATGAACACAATGTTTGACTATAAACCTTCAATCTTTGGCCGGAAGTATGAAGATGACAGTTTGAGTACAAACAAAATTAAATTCAGCAATTAGACCACTGGGAAATAGATGAACAAAAATATACGGTAGGTCTCTCGCTTACAGAATACTGAGGGCTGACTGGAGGGCGCAAGTTTGAAAATAATCATTCTGTAATTAGCATGGTAAAGATAAAAATCTGGCTGGAACCGGTTTGGCTCAGTGGATAGAGCATCGGCCTGCGGACTGAAAGGTCCCAGGTTCGATTCTGGTCAAGGGCATGTACCTTGGTTGCAGGCACATCCCCAGTGTGGGTGGTGTAGGAGGCAGCTGATGGATGTTTCTCTCTCATCGATGTTTCTAACTATCCCTCTCCCTTCCTCTCTGTAAAATATAATAAAAGATATATATATATTTTTTAAAAAAAGATAAAATCTGGTAAGAATCTCTATGAATATTCAATCCAGAGAGAAATGTTGATAAAGAGTAAATATTTGCATGGTCCTAATGTGCCTCCCTACAGACTACTTATAATCTGCAAAGGAAGGGGAAAAAGGAACAGTGGAGAAACCAGGTAACACCTTGACTGATAGGTCAAAATTAACATCACCAATGACAGAAAAGAACTTCACATGCCTATGAAGGTGATGCCCTGGACACATATATTATCTATCACCTGTGCAGTATACTGGCTGAAAATGCGTAACTCCAATGTAATCATGGTGAAACATCAGAAAAACAAATTGATAATTACTTTGTTTTACGTGTGTGTGATTCTATTCTTCAAAAAAATAAAAATAAAATGCTAATGTTATAAAAGACAAAGACAAGCTATGGAAATATTCCAAATGAAAGGAGGCTAATAATACATGACAAATACAATATCTCACTCTAGACTAGAATCTGTACCGGAGGGGAAATGTGTTGTAAAGAATACTGTTAGCCCTGACTGGTTTGGTTCAGTGGATAAAGTGTTGGCCAGAGGACTGAAAGGTCCCGGGTTCGATTCCAGTCAAGGGCATGCACCTTGGTTGTGGGCACATCCCCAGTAGGGGGTTTGCAGGAGGCAGGTTATCAATGTTTCTTTCTCATCTATGTTTCTAACTCTCTATCCCTCTCCCTTCTTCTCTGTAAAAATCAATAAAATATATATTTTTAAAAAAGAATACTGTTACATCAACTAACAAATTGGAATGTAATAGACTAGATAAAATATTAGATCTATATAAGACATAAAGATAAGAACTACATTGTGATTATATAAGAGAACATCTCTATTTTTAAAAAATATACACTCTAGTACTTAGAGTAAAAATCATCATGCATACAAAGTACTCTCAAGTGATTGATTTTAAAATATGTATATACCTACATATAAAGCAAATAATATTGCAAATGTGCAATGTTAACAGCAGTAGATTTGGGGAAAGGATATATGGGTGTTCTTTTACTTTTTTATTTTTGCAAGTTTTTTAAATTACATCCAAATAAGTTTAAAATAAACATCCTACTATCGTCATTAACATACAATATTCTTTACAGTTTATAAAGATTTAATAATTTGGCAATGACTTCAAAGGCTTTTAATACTAAATCAAATTTCTACTAACAATTTTGTCATTTGATTTAATATTAAAAAACTCTGAAACTACTATAATGCTAGTTATAAATATGTATGTAGTTGTAGATATATATTTCATATGAAAAAGATATTAATAATATCTATGCTAAATGAAAGGGGGTCACAAAATAGTGTGTACAAGTGGACTCCCCCCTTTTTTTAACTATATATATAGTCCTGGTTGGGTGCTCAGTGGTTAGAGCGTTGGCCCACAGACTGAAAAGTCGAGGGTTTTATTCAGGTCAGGAACACGTACCTTGGTTGCAGGCTTGATCCCCAGACCTGGATGGGCATGTGCAAGAGGCAACCAATCGATGTGTCCCTCTTACATTGATGTTTCTCTCTATCTTTCTCTCTTCCACTCTCTCTAAAAATCAATGGAAAAAATATCCTCGGATGAAGATTAACAACAACAAAAAATTACATATATAAAGATCTGAAAAGATACAAATATTCACAGTAGTTATATTTGGATGATAGAATAAAAGTGATTATACTTTTTTTCTTTTGGCTTATCTAGATTTTCTAAGGTTATTTCCTGCCATAAGCATATATTATATGAGTAATACAAAAAACAAACTGATATAATTATGTAAAAATGAAAAAGTTTTAAAGCCAAAATCTTGCAATAACAATCCCTGCTTCCCTTTATCTACTTATAATAACAAACTGGTGGCTAGCTATATTATCTAAATGTAATTTTTACTGTTACAATAGGAATAGGACAATATAATTTTTTTTTTAAGATTTAGAATCTCTGATTCCCAGATAAAATACTGAAAAACTATCTATGAAAAAGAATTATGAAATGCTCAGTTTGCTTTTAAACTGAGAACATGCCCTGGCTGGTATTGCTCAGTAGTTAGAGTGTCAGTCTGCAACCAAAGGGTAGGGAGTTTGATTCCAGGTCAAGGGCATGTACCTGGGTTGTGGGTTTGCTCCCCACCCCAGTCAGGGCAATGAGGGAGGCTACCAGTAGATGTATCTCTCTTACATCAATGTTTCTCTCCCTCTCCCCCTCTTCTCTTCTCCCTCTTTTTCTCTCTCTATCTCATACTCCTTCACTCCCTTCTACTCTCTCGAAAAACAATAGAAAAAATATCCTCAGGTGAGGATTAACAAGAAAACAAACAAGCAAAAAAAGAACAGAGAACATTACTATAAAATATACTAACAATTATACTTTAGTTCTACCATTAGGCCCAATCTGAGAGGTAGATGGAGAAAGATTTAACATGAAAAAAAGAAGAGGGCCTGCTCATAAAAGACACAGAAAAGGACCAAGGCAGGGAGACATAGGCAAAGAAAGTAACTGTTAACACTTCAGGGCCTGGGCCCAGGCTCCCCTGTGGGAATAAGCTGCCCACAGTTACAGCAGGGCCCTGGAGTCTTTATTCCAATTGGGTCAAGGATCAGATAAGCAAATCTTTCCCTATTTATAATGCCATTGAATTGTACACTGGAAGTGGCTAAAACAGCATTTAAGTTATGTTTTAGCATGCACACACCAAGTCCTTCTCTATTTAGATGGAGGAAGAAAAGTTAGAAAAGAAATTCTATCAATACCTCACATAGATAGAAAGCACCACGCCAGTGAGAAGGAAAGGTACCAAAGAGGAAGCTGGGAGGAAGGTGACTGAGAACTGACCCTTTTTTGCAATAAAAGGAAAGAACTAGGGGAGCTTAGAAGAGATCAGGAAGGCAGGGGTATGAAACACCAACCTAATAGGTCTTATTTATCTTCAATTGAAAAGGAGGTGGGGAAACCAGAAGATCTCTCATATACACTTCCTTATACATGTGCAACTAAAGAATTCTGCTCTTTGATGCTAACACTACTTGGTATGACTTTTTTCCACACCAATTAAATGTATTAAGTACCTACTGTGTTTAAGGCATGGTGCCAGATTCTGAAAATACACTGCTGTTGGTATGTCTTTTAATTGGAAAAAAAACAAGCTGATTTCAGCTCAATGAAACTTCAATTTGATAAGATTAAAACCCCAAAACCTAGATTGGCTTAACTGCATGTGAACAGGTTTGGATTTCCCAATAAGGGTCTAACACCTTCCAAAGCTCAATGTATACTTGTTCCAAGAAGATATTTCTGCCCTAGCTGGTTTGGCTCAATGGAGAGAGTGTCAGCCTGCAGACTGAAGGGTCCCACGCTCGATCCTGGCCAGGGTCACATGCCTGGGTTGCAGGCACAATCCCCAGTAGGGGGTGTGCAGGAGGCAGCCAATCAATGATTCTCTCTGATCATTGATGTTTCCCTCTCTCTCTCCCTCTCCCTTCATCTCTAAAATCAATAATATATATATATATATATATATATATATATATATATATTTTTTTTTTTTTTTTTTTTTTTTAAAGAATAAGATATTCCTGTAAAAAAGAAAGTGAGAAGGGGTTCCTGGCAAAGAACTACACAGGCTCAGGGTCAAGCCCATCTCTTATTTCCTGAATGATTGGGATTTTTCTAACAACTCTGTTTCTGTCCTTTTAAGAAGGCTATTTGCCTAACACAATGTAGTTAGAAGGAATAAATAAGTTAATGAATGCACTTTGTATGTTACAAAATGCCATAAAGATGCTACCATTTCTTTATTAAAGAACATATCTATATCATGCACTTCAGAAAACAGTAAATTGTGTACAAGGGCATTCTCATCATGATACTATTTCACCAAGTTTATTTCATGTGTAAACTTCTACCATACTTAGAGGATTGGCAGGGCTCAGGTCTTCTTAGTTCCCTAAGATGCTTTTATCTTCCCAATAGGGATAAACTACCAGACTAAAGAAATAATTAGTATATTATATAATAAGAAAGGTAATTATCACTATTATTATTGAAAATATAGGGACGAAACATATATAAGATGTAGATTCAGCAGACACTATGATGAAAATAAGATGACTGCAAACAAGCAAAGAAAAGAATGGATATTGTCTTAAAATTGAACATTTTGTTTCACTACTACAATGCTCATTTATTCAGTGCTAAAAATGTTAAAAATAAATATGTCTCCCAACAGACTTTTCTATGCAGCAAACATGACAGAATGATGAAATTAACTTAATTCAAATATAAAATAGCTTTTATTTTCTCTATATAATCATAATCATATAGGAAAAAAATTCATACTATAAAGGAACTGTTATATGTATAAAAGTCATACATATTTCCCATGTATTCATTTTTTTGGGGGGAGGGAAATGTGACCAGTCCAAATGTATATTCTCAGAAATTAAAATAATACTTTTTTCTACATCCCTAAATAATTAAGACCTATTATCCAAATCACTTAAAAGTAATGCTCCAAAACTTTAAAATTACTTACAATATCATAAATTTCTCGGTCATCCTCATCAGCTAGGGTCAACAGTGCTACCAATGGATAGCGAGATCTGGGCACTGTCCCAAAGTCTTCAATGTTAGTATCTTTTGGTAACTGGCAATATATTTCTTCTTTGCTGTCCTTTTTAATGCTTTTTGAAAATGTAAAGGTAAATTGTCACTATAAGCAAAAATACAACAAAATACCAAAGGGAATCGTAACTTAGCGATTTATCCATAAAAAGTCTAATGTCTAAAATTCTCATGTCCTAATAGATGTAAGATAAAGGATACAAATACTGTTCTCGATGGAGGTATTCGCTATACAGAGCATCTTCCAGTGTTTGGGGAGTGCTTATTCGGAAGCAGTAAACGTGCTTCTGCAGAGCCTCGTACAATTTCTGGACACTGCACCCCCAGTAGCATGTCAGGAGGCTATCTTCAAGGCAATCTGTTGTCAAAGTGATGCCAGCTGTAGAAGACAAACAAGACAGAGAAAAAAGTTACCTGACGTAATTCCTAGTACAATTATACACAGCGAGTAATAAAAGCTTCATTTTGGATGCTGGCCAGGCTGCTGGCAGTTCAAGGAACTCATTAGAGGCTATGTGCCTATAAACGAAGGAACAGGTCTCTAAAACAGGAGATATAAAAAAACCTCCATGTCTACACAATTTTGAAGCACTACCAGTAAACCTGATTATTTATACATTTATGCTTGGAAGTGATCAATTCAATGTTTTTTTGGTGACTTCAAGACTTTTCCCACAAAGATTTTACAAACTGAAATACAGTACACTAATTGTTAGCCTACCTAATAGTGTCTACAACCCTAAAGTGGATCCGCACAACCTTGTAACTACAAGCAGAGCAGAGCTATCTCTGACAGTGGATACACACCACCCGCGGCTCCACAAGATGATCACTGGAGTAGGACAAATATTAAAAAGAAATTGAGCTTTACTAATATCAATATACACACTGACAACATTAATATACATTCTTGTCACAAAGTTAATGTCCCATGTAATATGCAAAATATCCCGAGGAAAGAGTGGAGATTCCAAAACATGGAAGTTTAATAGTGATGTCCTCTTTCATTTGTTTGCTTTCAGCGTAATAAAATATATTATGATTTGAGTAAAGCCGATTAAGGGGGCATATAAATTATAAATGGACAAATTATAACATGTAGTTTTATCTGCTTGCTTATGGATTTACTATATGCCACCTATGTGATTTTCCCCTTCCCTTGTAGCACTAAGTTCAAAGGCAGCCACAACCAGTGCCTCACACTGCGGGCAGCGCAAGCTGCAACATCTAGTGGTGAGTGGCAGAGGTGTACTTGCTAAACCAAAAGGAAAAGTTTTTTTATTCATTGTGAAGCAGGACAGTAAGAAGCTGAGAAAATTCCTTGGCAAGTGGAATGAGGGAAACTGAGACAAGATAGTTAAACAAGGCTGAGCAATTAAAAACCTGCTAGTAGGCGGGGCTGGTGCGGCCAGGCCCGGAGCAGCGGCTGCCAGGCTGGGAGCAGCCAGGCTCGGGGGAGCAGCAGCAGCCAAGTCCAGAGCAACTAGGTCGGGAGCGGCAGTGACCAGACCCGGAGCAGCTGGTTGTGGAATGAACTAGAGCAACAGAGGCCAGGCCCTGAGCAGCCAGGCCCAGAACAGCTCGCTCCTTGCCTGCCCCTGCCCCACGGCTGCTTCTCAGACATGGCTGGAAACTTTCGTGGGAACTTGAGGGTCTGCTGAATCAAGTGATGAAGGCTTAGATCTGGATGTGTTGAGTTAGTTTAGGACTGGGGTGTTGATCTGTGAGTGCCTTGGGTGGGGCCTGGATGAGGCTGGTTGACCTAGTGGGAAATGTCTTTTGTGTGAAGTGTATCATTGGGCATGTGGAGGTATTATTGATATGAGAAAATGCTAAGTAACTGATTTACTATCTGAAAAGGGATTTACTATTGGGGAAATTGAGGGAAGAAGAGAGTGAACATAAACTGCACCTATGGATGAGGACAATGGGGGATGGGGGGGGGGACGGAGGGTGGGGTGGGAACCTGGTGGAGGGGGGAAGAAATGAGGAACCTTTGTAATGATATGAACAATAAAGATTGATTTAAAAAAAAATAATAAAATAAAATAAAATAAAAACCTGCTAGTAAATCACCAGATCTTATCTTCCCCAGCCAAGGACACATAGGAGCAGATGGTTTGTATTATATCTCTCCTCCCCAACCAGAGTGAATAGCTTAAATCACCCAAATTCCAGAATGGATGAAGGAAGGGAAATAAATAACAAGAAAAAACAATTACAGGATCCAAGATGGCTGCTCGGGTAGACATCTAGCCGCGGCAGCACACAACAATTTCAATGGAATACAACTAAAATGTAGAGTGGACATTGCCCAGAGCTACAGGTAGTCGACTGACTGAAATTTCTACAACAAGAAGGAAAGAGAAAACCAGAAAGAAAATCAGAGGAGCTGAAAAAAAGCCTAAGGTACGGAGACATGCTGCGCGCGCCTGCCCGCCCGCACGCGCGCACGGAGAGGTCGCAGCCGGAGAGGAGGAGAGGGCGGGGAGCCGCCTTTCCTTCCCTAGCAGGAAGGAAATAAAACCTCCAGCCTGGGCTGAACCCCCGAACCGGCAGCGCTGAGCCCCCCCGAACCGGCAGCGCTGAGCCCCAGTTATGGGCTAGACCCTGGGGACCCAGGCTCCGGCGGGAGGAGACAGGACCGTGAGGCGGAAAAACAGCGAAAGGCAGGGCCCCGGGAGTCGTGCGCAATGCGCGCAGAGGACTGAATGTTGACTCTGATGCTGGGTTGCCCTAGCCGGAAGAAACAAGGCCTCCGGCGGCGCTGAGCCTCAGTCCGGACTGCTCCGAACCCCAGTTCTGGGCCAAACCCTGGGGACCCAGGCTCAGGCAGAGGGAGACGGGGCTGTAAGGTGGAGTCCGGGGAGAGCGGCGAAAGGCCGGGCCCCCGGGACTCGCGCAAACTGCGCGCAGAGGACAGTCTGTGGGACTCGCGCAAACTACGCGCAGAGGACAGTCTGTGGGACTCGCGCAGGCTGCGCGCAGAGGACAGTCTCCGCAGAGGACAGTCTGTTGACTCTGATGCTGGACTTCCCTGGCGGGAAGGAGAAAGAAAAAGCTCTAGGCTGGGGGAACGCGGAGGGGAGCAGAAGCCCCTGCCGGACTCCAGCCAACTGGGCGCCAGCAAGGAGGCGGGCCACGGGGCCCCTGGGGGCGTGGGTGCCCCTGAGCCTTTGACCACTGAGCTCGGGCAATGGAGCCAAGGCCTGGGGCTGCTTCCTGGGCGGCGCCGTCCCGGCAACAGGCTGAAGCGGCAACAGGCTGAAGCAGCACAGGAGCCCGCGGAGAACAAAGGGGTGCCACAGGCCAACCTGCTGAGCTCCCAGGACAAGGAGGAAGAAACCAAAGAAGTTCTCAATGAGAAGAAATCAAGTGAGAGCAAAAAATAGTAAAATTACTTAAGAAAGAATACAAAGAAGTTCTTGAAAAAATCAAAGACTAAGTCAGAACTCAACTCACCAGCCAACATTGCAACATAAATGCGTTTTAAAAAGAAAAAAAAAGGACAGAATGTTGGAACAGCGACGGCCAGGCCTAGAGTGGCCAGGCACAAGGCAGTGGCAGCCAGGCCCGGAGCAGCAACGGCCAGGCCCCAGAACAACAGCAGCCAGAACCAGAGCATCAACAGCCAGCACTGGAGTAGCCAGACCTGGGGCAGTGGCAGCCAGGCATGAGGCGGAGGCGGCCAAGCCCAGGGTGGCCAGTCCAGGAACACCCAGACCCGGAGTGGCCGGGCCCGAAGAAGCCGGGCCCAGAGCAGCCGGGGTGGGAGCAGCCAGACCCAGAACAGCAGTAGCCAAGCCCAGAGCATCCAGGTCGGGAGTGGCCAGGCTCAGAGCGGCCGGGCCCGGGGCAGCCGGGCCCAGAGCAGCCGGGTCAGGTGCGGCCAGGCCCGGAGCAGCAGCTGCCAGGCTGGGAGCGGCCAGGCCCGGGGGAGCAGTCGGGTCGGGTGCGGCCAGGCCCGGAGCAGCGGCTGCCAGGCTGGGAGCGGCCAGGCCCGGGGGAGCAGGCGGGGCTGGTGTGGCCAGGCCCGGAGCAGCGGCTGCCAGGCTGGGAGCGGCCAGGCCCGGGGGAGCAGGCGGGTCGGGTGCGGCCAGGCCCGGAGCAGCGGCTGCCAGGCTGTGAGCGGCCAGGCCCGGGGGAGCAGGCGGGTTGGGTGCGGCCAGGCCCGGAGCAGCGGTTGCCAGGCTGGGAGCGGCCAGGCCCGGGGGAGCAGGCGGGGCTGGTGCGGCCAGGCCCGGAGCAGCGGCTGCCAGGCTGGGAGCGGCCAGGCCCGGGGGAGCAGGCGGGGCTGGTGCGGCCAGGCCCGGAGCAGCGGCTGCCAGGCTGGGAGCGGCCAGGCCCGGGGGAGCAGGCGGGTCGGGTGCGGCCAGGCCCGGAGCAGCGGCTGCCAGGCTGGGAGCGGCCAGGCCCGGGGGAGCAGGCGGGGCTGGTGCGGCCAGGCCCGGAGCAGCGGCTGCCAGGCTGGGAGCGGCCAGGCCCGGGGGAGCAGGCGGGTCTGGTGCGGCCAGGCCCGGAGCAGCGGCTGCCAGGCTGGGAGCGGCCAGGCCCGGGGGAGCAGGCGGGTCGGGTGCGGCCAGGCCCGGAGCAGCGGCTGCCAGGCTGGGAGCGGCCAGGCCCGGGGGAGCAGGCGGGGCTGGTGCGGCCAGGCCCGGAGCAGCGGCTGCCAGGCTGGGAGCGGCCAGGCCCGGGGGAGCAGGCGGGTCGGGTGCGGCCAGGCCCGGAGCAGCGGCTGCCAGGCTGGGAGCGGCCAGGCCCGGGGGAGCAGGCGGGTCGGGTGCGGCCAGGCCCGGAGCAGCGGCTGCCAGGCTGGGAGCGGCCAGGCCCGGGGGAGCAGGCGGGTCGGGTGCGGCCAGGCCCGGAGCAGCGGCTGCCAGGCTGGGAGCGGCCAGGCCCGGGGGAGCAGGCGGGTCGGGTGCGGCCAGGCCCGGAGCAGCGGCTGCCAGGCTGGGAGCGGCCAGGCCCGGGGGAGCAGGCGGGTCGGGTGCGGCCAGGCCCGGAGCAGCGGCTGCCAGGCTGGGAGCGGCCAGGCCCGGGGGAGCAGGCGGGTCGGGTGCGGCCAGGCCCGGAGCAGCGGCTGCCAGGCTGGGAGCGGCCAGGCCCGGGGGAGCAGGCGGGTCGGGTGCGGCCAGGCCCGGAGCAGCGGCTGCCAGGCTGGGAGCGGCCAGGCCCGGGGGAGCAGGCGGGTCGGGTGCGGCCAGGCCCGGAGCAGCGGCTGCCAGGCTGGGAGCGGCCAGGCCCGGGGGAGCAGGCGGGTCGGGTGCGGCCAGGCCCGGAGCAGCGGCTGCCAGGCTGGGAGCGGCCAGGCCCGGGGGAGCAGGCGGGGCTGGTGCGGCCAGGCCCGGAGCAGCGGCTGCCAGGCTGGGAGCGGCCAGG